GATAATCTTTAGGGTCGAATCACTAATGCCAAAATAGTGATAACTCGCACCATGTATCAGGCATGGGTGTATATGGGTGTGTGGTGTTGGGTGCCATATCTTTGTCATGGTCGGGCCGCATTGTGTTGGCTATAACTTTTTCATACGGCCTCAGATTGACATGATTCAAAAAGAAAATTCGTTTGCCTTGACGAGATGAATAATTTTCATGTAGAGCACCTTTTCATGTGAGGTCGTTATGGTTGCATAATCGGATGAACAGTACACCAACTTTCAGCACTCAGAGCACAATTCTGGCCCCCGAGACGAGCTCGGATGGAGATGACCCAAATATCAACATTGTTCATTTCGACAAAACGAAAACTTTTCATGTTGGGTACTTTAATTTTGAGGCGATCTCAATTGTGGTTTTTGCCATGCCAAAATCTGGTGTCAACACTCAGCAAAGTACAATTTGTTGGTACTGTCTTAGCAACATACTGAGTAACTACAATACAGATGAAAGAATAGTTTATCGGACCCAAGCAAGGGTTTGTGTTGAACATGCATAAGACATGGAACATTGGTCCGTCGTCAGTACATCTTTACGATATAGTGAGCACCACCCAAAAAATTGTGGCAGTGATGTTTTTCATGTGTGAGCAAGATATCGAGCAAAGTGTTATTTCTTGGTGTGGCCAACCCTAGTGGTCGAGCAAGGAGGACGAAGCCATAGTACATTTGGATTCAATGGTGCAACAATAGTTCAAGCTTGATTAGCATCGATATAGAGGAGAAAATATCCAGAGAAGTTTGAGAGGAATATAAGATTTATGTATTTGTGTTTGAGATGGCATGTGAATATTTTGATGTCTTGAGAAGAACATAAGACGAGTTAAGAAGTAGCAACAAGAACAGTATATTGTATATGTTACGTTTTGTTTTGGTTTGGTTCAGTTTCCATGCTTTGATAATGTCTCATGTTTAGTGAAATAATTTCCTCCATAAACTCCTTCTAATTTGAACAATCCAGTAGTTGATTATGTAGGAGAGTTTTGTCTAATATACTTGTTCTGTAACACTGTTTATTTGACCACTGGCCTGAGTCAAACATTCTTCATTTGTCATCGCACACACACTCTAGAGCATATTCCATTGAATCTAGCCTCATGGAAAATACATTTGTTTATGTTACGACGTTGGCATGCACTAATCCTATAGAAAATTCCTCCATTTTTTCCATGGTGCAACTAAAGAACTCGTTTTTTGATTCTTGTAGGATTCATTATGACACGCCATCTCAATCCTATGTTTTCTTCTTTACCGTCCCAGGACCAAATAGACCAGCTATTGAACCACATGATCAAACAATAAAGGCCTTTTCTATGAAAACCAAATAAAAGAGCAATGGCAATTACTTGAGGGCCCTAATAGATATTTTATGCACTCTATGCTTCCTATTTATTTACGGTCAAGATAAAAAAATCATACACTATAGAGGCATATATATCAAGATTTTTTTTAGACACATACGCTCTAGAGCTCTCTATTAATATGGCTCCCTATTAATATATTTAAAGATGCCAAAACAATTGCAAATGTATAAAAACACAATTAACATATGTATATATATATATATATATATAATGGTACATACTAATTCACATCTAAGAAAGATTTAGTGCAACCAATATTTTCTTACGAAGCTTATAAATATAATTTTATGAAACAAAAACATATTTTTTGCTGAAAAAACACAATTTTAATTTAGGGAAGTATACTTCTTTTAATGTTTCGAAGATAGTAACCACGGACGCCTAATAGGGAAGTAAAAACAGATGTCGAAATTGTGACCTATGTCATTGTCTTTAAAATTCTAATAGCACGATCATATGGTAAATTATGCTGAATATAATACAATTTTTAAGAATAAAAATTTTATGTTCATAAATAAATCAAAATAATTAAAAAAAATTAGTATAAATAGCCAACAAAAACTAGAGAGTTCTCTCACAAAGAACAGATAATAGAGAGATATCATATAGCGAAAGATAAAGAACTGTTTGATTAATAAGTAACATAAATTATGAGGTACCAAAAGATATGTCAATGATTATCACTGAGTGTAATTTCATTCGTGATACATTTTATACCAGGCTTCATGCGGTCTGGCAAGTCCGGTCCTTAACCGAGCCTCGCTTTGGACCAGTCGGACCCAACTGTCCAGTGGTTCCTTTTTTGAAGATCGGTCTGACAGCACCCCAGCTCGGTGAGGACCAAGATGACCAAAATGATAGCTGTTGTTTTGGATTTTAAGCATAAGTGGAAGGTAGTTAAAGAATCAGAGTAACAAACAGCTTTGATTGATTTCTTGGGAGCAGAACATGCATGTTAGCCGAAAGCTCATGTACGAAGACTGGTTGAGCTGTTTGCTCGATCCTTTTTCATACAACCTGGTTATTTTTAAAGGGCAACTGCTATAAGGTGCCAGTGGTCGATGCTAGGATTTTATTTCGTGATACCAGTTACGTTAGTTATTCCGAGCGCCCGGTGACGCATCGATGTCAATAGATGCATTGAGCGCTTGCTCGATTCCTGGGCACATGAGTAAAGAAATGGGGAGTCAGGACTACTTATTTAGAGCCCATGATTATTGTCGAGCATTGGAGGACAATGCGCTTAGTTGTCTTTATAATTTTTTGACGTTTTTTTACTATAAGCAACTGCACAAGAGTCTAGCATTGTAAATGCTTGAATTTTTCTATAAATATGAGACCATCATAGGGCATTTCTACAGCAGATGGACGAGAAGTTGCATGGGTGGGCAAGAAGTTTGTCCAAAGGGGCTTTTTCAATCCAATGCAATTGGAGAAATGTCTTCTGCTAAGCCGCCGAGCAGGGAGGGGCACTTGTTATCAGATGTGGAGATATGGCTACAACGGACGCTCAAGAAGAAAACCCTTGGCCTAGCCTCTTTGCACAGGACGATCTTGTGCCAAAACTCTCGTCTGCTATGGCTACGGGATGTCGATGCGAGCACTTCCTTCTTCCACTTGCATGCTCCTCGAAACAGGCTCCCGCCCCGCTTTATAAATAAAGCAAAAACACCAAGAATACATGGCGGAACAATACAATGTGGTGAGGAGGTCCTCTGAGACAGCAGATCCTAGATAACATGCCAACATAACCGCTCACGACTAAGCTGCCGACACACTAGCACAGGACTAACAGATTACAATGCCATGACACGGCCTAGGTCCCCTAGCTAGCCTCCACGACAGCGCCCTCAAGAGGGGAACGCGAGCACCGCCGCTGCCGAGCCCGAGGTGGATAAAGGTTTTCACCTGGAAACTGTGACACGAAGAGAAGAACACATCGATGTCTTCCACTTGCATGCTAGCGACGATGGAATCACGTGCTCAAGCTGCATGACGGCACGGTAAAGGCCTCCTCTCAAGAGGCCATGGATGAGTTGGCAGTCTCCTATTTCATGGGCATGTTGGGGATTCCGGTCCAAAGCACACACTCCATTTAACATTGACCACATCGAATTTTCGGCAATCTATCCCATGCCATTGGAGTTCCCTTTCTCTGAGAAGGATATTTGGGAGGTGGTTCATGGGTTGCTGCCCGATAGGGCACCGGGGATTGACTGCTTCTCGGCTAGGTTCTATCAGGTTTGGTGGTCCACGATTAAAGTGGTGGTAATGCATGTTGTGCGCGCCTTCAACAATGCAGACGGCATGGGTTTTGAATGCATGAATGAGGCTTTCAACACTCGCGTCCCCAAGTGCGACGGAGCTACGTACGGATATCCAGGATTATCATCCTATGAGTTTAATCCACAGCTTTGCCAAAATTCTTGCCAAGGCGAGGTCCTCATACATAGCTTTCCCCTTTTTGGCTGCCAAATTTGATTGCGCGCGCCTAATTAAAGTGCCTTCGTTGGGGGACGATCGATCATGGACAACTTCATGCTTGTGCAAGCATCTATCATACCATTGCACCGCCACCGGGTAAAAGCGCTAATCCTCAAGGTAGACATGGCAAAGGCTTCCGACTCAGATCTCCTGGACATTCCTCTTTGAAGTTCTTCAAAGACACTTGCCCGACACCCCCTTGGCATCCGGGTGCAGCGCCACGTAGCACTGCGTCGCAGCCCCCTGTTCCAATTCCCAAATCCAAACCAAAACCAAAATCAGAATCAAATAACTCATACAACATCGGTAAACCTAGGAGGACAAGACCCACAAAATCATACTGTATCAAATTATGTATGTCTTTAGTGTGCGTGTGTGCGCTCGGAAACCAAAGAAAGAAAGATCCATATGCCATTTCCAGCCAAGTCAGACCCACCTGGCTGGATGGATGGCCACATGGCCCAAGCCGGCGAGTGACACGGTAGCATAGCGACTCAATCAACGGTTGACAAGGCCATTACCATAACACGGACCGCTACAAACATTTACTGCCTTTTCTTTTCTTTTGTCTCCTTTTTTTAAACAAGATGTAGTCTCTGTACGCACTACTGTAAAATGGACACACAACCCTGCCAAGACTGAACACAGCGAAAAAACTGTACCTGTTTAGCGTTCTTCAGCACCAGTTTACCAAGCGTCCGATGCAGAACTGCATACCACAAAAAAATAAATGAAGATGATATCAATCAAAACAAGCCCATGGCTTGACCATGGATATCTGATTTTTTATCTTAACCAACAAATCAAAATCATCATCATTTTAGTTTCACAGCTAACGGCTATTTGCATCGTTTCGACTGTTGTCTGACACCCCTTATGGTCTACTGTGTTTTCTGTTCTTTTTCGGTTCCATTCGTTATTCAAATCTCAAAGCCATAAGCGTGAATCAAGGCATGTTTACCATCTATGATGCTGTGGTGGCGAAGAAGGTTCGTGATGATAACTCCAGGATGGAGAGAATTCGCAGTCATGTTCACACCCTCTTCCTGTTCGACAAAATATTGAATCATGATTTGAGATACTTGGGCTCAAGCTATCAGTTCAGCTCATAGTGATAAAGAACTGAAAGCAGACAAAAGCAGTTAAGAGCATCAGTTCAGCTCTCAGACAACTGGTTTGGATGCAGTGAAACAAATAAACCATGCAGTCCTGTTAGGATAAACACGGACATAGAGCATGCTGGACCTAACAAACTCATCAAAATAATAAGAAAGACATGGTGTGATGTAACAACCACAAAATTTTAACCGAATGAGGCATACCTTAAATCTCCTGGCAAGTTCATTAGCGTGTAAAATGTTGGCAAGCTTTGACTGCCCATATGCTGCGATGGTGCTATACCTGCACGACGCAAGGTTGAAACAGCAACTGACTCTCGTTTGTCTTGAAATAAAGTAAATGGTACGGGGAAAACATAAGAATGACTGAAATTACATACTCTTCCTCATCATTCAGTTTGGCAAAACGGATGCCTTCCTTGTATGCAAACCTGTGCCCCTCTGACGAAACATTAACAATTCTTCCTTCCACGTTTGATTCACGAGATGTCTTCTTCATGGTCTCCAGCAGAAGATGTGTCAAAAGAAAATGCCCTGAATATTATGACACGAGAGTTAGGTGAAACAGAAATGAACTAGAAGGGTCAGGTGAAGTAGAAATTGCAAGCTTGCAACTGTCTGCAAACTTGTTTAAATGAAGTGTTTCTGTATCAGGGTATGTTAACTGGGTTCATCAGCTAGTCAAGTCGATGGGATGGGAGTTTGTTTGGTAATCATGCATACCGACCGATATGGTTAGTTGCAAACTGCATCTCGATGCCATCCTTTGAGAGGGTGAAAGGAGTCGCCATTACGCCTGCGTTGTTGCTGCCAGCCAGAGAAAGCATCATGTATGTAATCCAGGTGAGTTGTTAGAGCATGCTTCAGCAAACGTGCAAGCCAGCAGGTCAGATTATTGAAGGAAGGTACAACCAGTAGCATACGCTTGTATTGAGGATCAAGTGTTGTGGTGCAAGAAGCATCATCGTAAGCAGATATACTTGACTAATACTATGATCTTGTTGTATCCAGGTGACTAGCACTCTAGAGTGAAGATTGCCCCTGAATTGAGGACTGAAGGCATCACCAGAATATCTTTCTTCCACGCTACCCTACACTCACTGATGTACTAGTTGGGTTGCAGGCAGCAGTTACCTACTCCAACCAACATGTTATAGTACAAACAAAACCCAGAAATTAAATTGACTGAAACCTGCTGAAACTATAACATGTTGCAGCCAAACTGATGCATGAGCCATCTCGCTGATTCAGATGTTAATGGCCGACACTCCCTAACTGAACCTGAACCTGCGCATGATTGGGAGTAGAAGCGACAAGTGGGGCTGCCTTACCCACCGGCCCAGCCCTGGTCACACAATTTTTTCCATACAAATTTTCCATCCTATTTCTACCCCATGAAAAAGACTGCTCATTCATTTCTCTCTATATAAAAATGAACTAGACACATCTACTAGTATATTATACACCTATAAATCAAGTGTGCATGCCAACGGGCATGATTGAGAAAATGTTCGCATTTAAAAAAAATGTTCACATATTCAAAAATTGTTCGCAATTCTAAAAACAAATGTTTGGGAAAATGATGTTCATGATTTTTTTTTTAAAAAAATGTATATTTAATTTTTTATAATGAAATTGAACAAAATTTTACCAATTCAAAAACTGTTCATGACTTACAGAATAGTTTACTAATTCACAAATTGTTCATTGTTCAAAAATAATCATGCATTTCAAAAACTTTTCATTAAATAAAAATATGTTCTGAATTTCAAAAATTGTTCAACCAATTTCCAAAAAATGTTTGTCAATTCTAGAAATGTTCGCCTATTCAAGAAAAATGCTTGCAAATCGTATAAAATGTTCATGAATTCATAAAATGTTTATGATTTAAGAAAATGTTCAAAAAATATTAAATTGTTCATAATTTCAGGTATGTTCACGAGTTTATATTCATGATTTTTTATGATTTCGCGAAAATGAGACTGGTAGTGCATCTCGGTGATGCTGCAAAATATGGTCAGGACCATTGAAGATTATGATTTTTTTCTCAAGTTGCAACCTACAGGTTGTTTTTCTAGTCTATACATACTAATAACGAAGCTATTGCTTCTAGCGGTACATCGTGGATATTGCCCTGAAAGTTATAAAATATTATCCACCGATGCCACTTAAAACTGTTACACATAGGGGAATCGCCCGCCTGGGCCGGCCCATTCAGTAGGGACCTCCTGTACTGGATTTGCTATAAAAAAGGAAGTCAGGCCAAGCCTACCGTGAAACCCTAGGCCCACACACAATCCCTCCATTCCTCACAGAAAAAGAGGCAAGAATCCCCCCCTCCGCCGCCAGCCATGCCGTCGTTCCAAGGCTGGATAGATCTGCGGCCGGAGCTCCTCTGTCGCGTCGCCGATGGCCTCGACGACCTCAGGTTCTACACCAGCGTGCGCGGCACCTGCACGGCGTGGCGTGGCGCGCTCGCGCCGCCTGCACCATCGCTGCTCGTCCTCCTCCGCGACGACGCCACCAGACGTCGGCACGCCGCCATCGTCTCGCTCCCCGCGCACCGCTCCTTCGGCCTCCAGGCAATCCCCTCAGGCTCGTCCTGCCCCAACGCCTCGCCCCCGATGCGCGGCTCCTTCGAGTTCATGGCCACCTACCCGATTAGGAGCTACCTCGGTTGCGGAGGCGGGTGGCTTGCCCTCTCCGTCTGCCTCTACGACGGCCAAAGCCTGCTCACCCTCTTCCACCCAGTCACCGCCGCCGAGATCCTCCTACCGCCGCTCATCTACGACACCCGCTTGCTCTCCAAGATCGTTTTCGCGCCTGACCCCGCTAGGGAAGACTTCATCACGGCCACCATCTGCGACATCGACAGGCTCGCCTACGTCACCGCGGGGGCTAGGAGGTGGGCCGTCCTTGACCGCGTCCGTCTTGCCACCGGAGACCAGCTCGTCGATGTCATCTACCATCAAATTGGTCAAAATGGTATGGTTTACTGCCTCACTCGATTTGGGAATGTTTATGTGCTCCGCCTACCAGAACGTCGCCGCCGAGAACCCGTCATCATCGAGGACCAGACATCAGCAGAGGATCTTGTAACGCATAACAGGCGCATCATTCAAATGCACAATGCCGGATCGGACCTGAATGCGCCGGCTAGCGTGCAACCACTACTCTTTTCTTCGGTGAGCAGTTTCACCCCACTGTACGTAGCTGTTTCGGATTTCACAAGTGCCAAGAACCTGGTGTTCTGCAATGGCAACCTATACCAGATCCGGAGGAATGCTAGTTGTACCGTCACTTTGCATCTGGCGGGAGGCAGTCATCGCCGTATAGAGGAGGATGAAATATTTGTTCTCAAGTATAATCCCCGACGCAGGCCTTGCTGGGACGCGGTGGCTGACTTGGGGGGATACTCAGTGTTTGTTGGGAGGAGCAATGCGGTGTCAATGCATGCTGAAGGTGTTCCAGGGCTCAAGGGTAACTGTGTCTACTGGATAGGTGGGAGAGGTAGGGATCAAGGCATGGTCTTTGACATGGGGACCGGGAAATCTACACCTTGCCTTCCCCCTACGGCTGGTGTCGTTCCAGGGCCTCTACAGTGTACAATCTGCTGGTACTTTCCGAGGAAGGTAGTGAATAACTGCAATACAAATGAATTAGGTGTTTATGGGACCCGAGCAAGGGTTCGGGCTCAACGTGCACAAGACATGTCACAATGATGTGTCGCCAAGATAGCTTGGTGACATAGTGAGCACCACCAGCCTGGAAGTGATGTTTATCATGCATGACAAGAAATCTTGCAGAGTGTAATTGCTTGTTGTGACCAAGCCTGGTGATAAGTGAGGAGGACAAAGACAAACCACTTTTCAACCCAATAGAACTGATGGAAGGATTACATTTGCAGCCAATGGTACAAACAATTTTTGAAGCTTCATTAGCAGCCAATGAAAGGGAAAAGGATGGTGAGAAGTTTGAGAAGAACAAAAGATTTGTGTGTATTTGTGTCTGAGATGATCAATGTCTTGAGAAGAATACATAATAAGTAATACATGGTATGTTGTGTTGGTTTAGTTCCCATGCTTGGATACATGTCGGTCGGGAAACCCGTTCTCATCGCCCGTGGTGGTGGTGGAGATGACTTGGTGATGCGCAGCCCATCTGTTGTGGGCGTCCGTGTCTAAGTTACAAGATCCTCAATAACCTTACCACCCCCTTGTTCGGTGCAGGTACTTAACGTACGCTCTTACATACATACGCGATGTTAATGAGGCAAAGTGGTACAAGGCTTTCGAGAAGGTACCATCATAAACCGGTATTCTCTTTGTTTGCCATTGATATCAGGCGATACTACAAAGAGGAGTCCTGATGAGTTCATCACATCTTTTGTTTGGGCTTGAGAAAGCTTCTAAGGCATGTCGTGTCATCTGGAGCGATTTCCGATTACTATGTCCTTCATGGAGGGGTATCCCCCTCTGAGTAGAACTATTGTTCGTCACCAACCTAAGGGTAACATCCCCTGGTTTTGTGGAATTCCTTATACTTTAGGTGTAGTCCACATATCCCTCGAGTCCCTTCCATATTAGTTGGGTAGACCGTTCCATTTATAATTCACTTTTTGAGAAAATGATATGCATCTATTATAAAGATTCATCAGAAAATACAAAAACACCTCAATAAATAATAATAATAATAATAATACATATGGGTCCCCGTACCACCAACCACTACCGCCGCCAGAATGATCTGTCGATGAGCCGCTATCGCTTCTCCCTAGTGAAGCTGGTATGACCTTATCTGAAAGATCGTGGATGTCGCCTAGAAGGGGGGGGGGGTGAATAGGCGTTTTAAAATAATTACAATTTAGGCTTGAACAAATGCGGAATAAACCTAGCGGTTAATTTGTCAAGCACAAAACCTAAAACAATTAGGCTCACCTATGTGCACCAACAACTTATGCTAATCAAGATAAGCAACTATGTGATAGCAAGATATATGACAAGAAACAATATGACTATCACAAAGTAAAATGCATAAGTAAAGAGCTCGGGTAAGAGATAACCGAGGCACGCGGAGACGATGATGTATCCCGAAGTTCACACCCTTGCGGATGCTAATCTCCGTTTGGAGCGGCGTGGAGGCACAATACTCCCCAAGAAGCCACTAGGGCCACCGTAATCTCCTCACGCCCTCGCACAATGCAAGATGCCGTGATTCCACTAAGGGACCCTTGAGGGCGGTCACCGAACCCGTACAAATGGCAACCCTTGGGGGCGGTCACCGAACCCGTACACTTTGGCAACCCTTGGGGGCGGTCACCGGTACCCGTCAAATTGCTCGGGGCAATCTCCACAACCTAATTGGAGACCCCGACGCTTGCTCGAAGCTTTACACCACAATGATTGAGCTCCGAACAACACCAACCGTCTAGGGCGCCAAGGCACCCAAGAGGAACAAGCTCTAGGGTGCCCAAACACCCAAGAGTAATAAGCTTCTCAAACTTCACTTCCACGTATCACCGTGGAGAACTCAAACCGATGCACCAAATGCAATGGCAAGGGCACACGGAGTGCCCAAGTCCTTCTCTCTCAAATCCCACCGGAGCAACTAATGCTAGGGAGGAAAATAAGAGGAAGAACAAGAAGGAGAACACCAAGAACTCCAAGATCTAGATCCAAGGGGTTCCCCTCACATAGAGGAGAAAGTGATTGGTGGAGATGTGGATCTAGATCTCCTCTCTCTTTTCCCTCAAAAACTAGCAAGAATCCATGGAGGGATTGAGAATTAGCAAGCTCGAAGAAGGTCAACAATGGGGGAAGAACACGAGCTCAAAGGATAAGGTTCAATGGAGAAGAAGACCCCCTTTTATAGGAGGGGGAAAATCCAACCGTTATGTGCTCAGCCCGCACACGAGCGGTACTACCGCTCCATGAGCGGTACTACCGCTCAGGCGGAAGAAACAGGGAAAAGGAGCAACAAAACATGAACCTTGGGGTGGTAGTACCGCAGGAGACAACGATACTACTACTGGGTTAAGCGGTACTACCGCTCCCTTCGGCGGTACTGCCGCGCAGAACGAAGGGTAAAGGGAAAGAGGGACCGGGCGGTACTACCGCGGAGGAAGGGCGGCACTGCCGCACTACTGCCGCAGCGAGGTACCGCACAATCCGACACAGAAAAAGACCCCTCGAATCGACGCGGTAGGGACCTGGTAAGCCAACGGTAGTACTGCTGCGGAGTCACCGCCGGTACTACCGCTGCAGAGCGGTACTGCCGCTTGTGACTCCTCAGCGGTACTACCGCTGGGTACCATGGTACTACCGCTGGGACCCTGACAAAAACCACACTCAAGAAAACCAGAACTGCCATAACTTCTGCATATGAGCTCCGAATTGAGAAAACTCAAGCTTGTTGGAAACAAGACGACGAGTAGCATCAAAACAGCGACTGGTTATAGTAAGAAGAGGCAGGGGAGGTATGCCTAACAAAAAGAGGAGTGAAACCTCCAACCGAGAAGAACCGGCAAAACCTCCAACATCGAAAACATCATAGAAGAAGCAAGCGAACTCCGTTTTCGATGAACTCAAGCTTGTCAACAAGATGACCGTAAGCTCTAAGACTCACAAAGAGAACCAAACAAGAACCAAGAAAGATGATGCAAGGATGAAATGGTTTGAGATCTCTACGAACGATACGATCAAGCTACTCATCCAGAGCCCCCTTGATAGTATGGCAATCGATCCTATAACCCGGTTTCCCAACTACCATCATGAGACCGGTAAAATAGAAAATCTACCAAGGGCAAACCTTTGCCTTGCACATGGTCCATTTGAGCTAGATGATGACGATCTTGACTCCCTCAAGTTGGACCACCTTTCTTGATTGGGTTGACTCGATGAAGACTGGTTGATTGCTCCCCCATACTCCACTATGGGTGAGCCACTCTTCCGCACATCTTCACAAGTCCATTGTCACCACAAAGGACGGCAAGCTTCAAGCATTTGATCTCTTCGTGATGCTCCACTTGAACTTGCACACCGCAACCTTTCTTGATTGTGTTGACTCGATGAAGACTAGTTGATTGCTCCCCCATACTCCACTATGAGTGAGCCACTCTTCCGCACATCTTCACAAGTCCATTGTCACCACAAAGGACGGCAAGCTTCAAGCATTTGATCTCTTCGTGATGCTCCACTTGAACTTGCACACCGCAACCTCTCTTGATTGTGTTGACTCGATGAAGACTAGTTGATTGCTCCCCCATATTCCATTATGGGTGAACCACTCTTCCGCACATCTTCACAAGTCCATTGTCACCACAAAGGACGGCAAGCTTCAAGCATTTGATCTCTTTGTGATGCTCCACTTGAACTTGCACACCGCAACCTAACCCCACAAAGAACCCTCACGAAGACCATGGGTTAGTACACAAAGCGTAATTGGCAATGCTTACCATACCATGGGATCACTTGATCCCTCTCGGTACATCTTCTACGCTTTGTGGGTTGATCAACTTGATTCACTCTTTGACTTAGTCTTGATCAACCTCTCACAAGACTAATCTTTAGGTAATTCCTTGAATAGCACATTGGTCGACACAAACTCTCCTTGAACCAAACACATGTACTCCAAGAAAAGCCTATAGACAAAACCTTGTCATTCCATCATCCTTGTCAAACTTGTCTCGATTGGGAGGGCTCTATCTATACTCAAATAAATTCATTGGCCACATACCATCAAGCTTTGGAAACTTACAAATGCTTCAATATTTGGACATTTCCAACAACAATCTTCATGGTAGGGTTCCAATGGAGATCTTCAAAATCCCATCAATAATTGGAATTAATTTATCATTCAACAACCTCAGTGAACAACTTCCTACCGACATTGGCAGTGCCAAACAACTCGTACAATTGGGACTTTCATCAAATAAGCTATTTGGAGATATTCCAAACACTCTAGGTGATTGTGAAAGTTTAAAAAACATTGAGTTAGACTCAAATATTTTCAGTGGAAGCATTCCCACTTCATTAGGCAACATAAGCAACCTCAAAGTTCTGAATATTTCTGCCAATAACATAACTGGGTCAATTCCAGCATCTCTGGGCAACCTACAACTTCTTGAGAAACTAGATTTGTCATTCAACCATCTTAATGGTGAGGTTCCAACAAAAGGGATCTTCAGGAATGCAACTGCTGTGCGGATTGATGGAAATCAGGGGCTTTGTGGTGGGATACCGGAGTTACACATGGTGGCCTGTTTTGTTATTCCTTCAAATTCAAATAGGCACGATGAAAATTTGGTGCTCAAAGTAGTTATCCCAATAGCGAGTATGGTGTCACTTGCTATGGTCATACTTGGCTTATCTCTCTGGAAAAGAAAACACAAGTGCAAATCTATCTCTCTGCCATCATTTGCTGCAAAATTTCCCAAAGTTTCTTTCAATGATCTAGCCAGAGCAACACAGGGATTCTCAACATCCAACTTAATTGGCAGAGGGAGATACAGTTCTGTATACCAAGGAAAACTAGTGGAGGCCAAAAATGAGGTGGCAGTAAAAGTCTTCAACCTAGAGACAAGAGGAGCGCAAAAGAGCTTCATTGCAGAATGTAATGCACTGAGAAATGTGCGGCACCGTAATCTGGTCCCTATCCTAACTGCGTGCTCGAGCATTGATTCTAATGATAATGATTTCAAGGCCCTAGTGTATGAGCTCATGCCACAAGGAGACTTACATAAACTACTATACTCAACTCAAGACCGTGAAAGCTCTTCAGATTTGAAATTTATTACATTGGCTCAAAGGATAAGCATTGTGGTGGATGTAGCGGATGCAATGGCGTACCTCCACCACAACAATCAAGGAACAATTATTCATTGTGATCTAAAGCCTAGCAACATTCTTTTGGATGACAATATGACAGCTCATGTCGGAGACTTTGGCCTGGCAAGATTCAAAGCTAGTTCCACAACGCCGTCTCTTGGTAACTCAAGCTCTTCTCTCGGTGCACTGATGGGAACTATCGGATACGCTGCTCCAGGTAATGGATTTTTTTATATATCTTGTGTTGCTACATTTTCTGTTATTTATGTTAACTAGTGAAAGCGAAATTAACTCTTTTTATTCATTGTGTAGAATATGCAGGGGGCGGTCAACTTTCAACTGCCGCAGATGTTTACAGCTTCGGTGTCGTTCTCCTCGAGATATTCATTCGGAGAAGGCCAACCGGCGACATGTTTAAGGATGGGCTGAGCATTGTGAAGCTTACAGGGATCAGCTTCCCTGGTAGGGTATTGGAGATTGTCGATCCCGAGCTACTACAGGAGTTGGAGCCTTGCCAAGAAACTCCAGTGGCCATGAAGGAAGATGGTATGCACACTTTGCTATCTATGCTAAACGCTGGCCTTTGCTGCACCAAGGAAACTCCGGGTGAACGAATCAACATGCAGGAGGTTGCTGCCAAGTTACGTCGAATCAGGGATGATTATCTCAGAAGCTGTTCTGTTGCTTCAGTAGTATTAGCTACTTAAATAAGTATGTTGTTGTATAATTGGCATTTATCATAACCATATACGTAAGGACCTGAATTTACAAACCCAAACCATTTGTGTGTTGCTGCAGCCTAGCGCACAGTGAAAAACTGAGAAGAATAGCATTTCTCTGTATCAATATTAACAAATAAATATGGATCTTATAGATTAATACTTTTGGAAAAGTCAAGCGGTGAACGCTATGTTTTCGTCTTACATTGAACAAAAAAAAACACTTCGACAGAACGTGGCATACCTTAAATCTCCTAGCAAGTTCATTCGCATGTAAAATGCTTGCAAGCTTTGACTGCCCATATGCTGCAATGGTGTTATACCTGCATAACGCAAGGTTGAAACAGCAACTGACTCTCGTTTGTCTTGAAATTATGTAAAAAAAAATCGAAAAGGAGGATAACCTCTGGCCTCTGCGTCAAGCGATGCATACAACCATCATCTAGTAAATGGTAGCGGAAAACATAAGAATGACTGCACGGAAATAACATACTCTTCCTCATCATTTAGCTTGGCCAACCAGATGCCTTCCTTGTATGCAAACCAGTGCCCCTCTGACAAAACATTAGCAATTCTTCCTTGGATGTCTGTCAAAAGAAAATGCCCTGGATATTATGACATGAAGAGTTAGGTGAAGCAGAAATGACCTACGAGGGTTAATCAGGTATGTTAACTGACTCCACCAGCTAGTCAAGTAGTACATGGAAGTTGGTAATCGAATCATACCGACTTGGTTGGTTGCAAACTGCATCTTGATGACATCCTTTGTGAGGGAGAAAGGGGTCGCCATTACGCCTGCATTGTTGCTGCCAGCCAGAGAAAGCAATATTTAGTCAGGGAACACCATGTAAGTAGCTATTATGGTACGCTTTAGCAAATGTGCAGGCGAGGAAGCATGAAAGATACTTTCTCTGGACGGAGGGAGTACTAAACTGAAGGGTTTTTTTTTTTTTTAAAAGAAGGATGTACCCCCGGACTCTGCATCAATAAGCCTGAAGCCACCAGAATATCTTTTTCCTACCCCCGGTTTTCCAACCAACATGTTATATATGGTTTAAGAAACCCAGAAAATTGAATCGGCAGAAACTATGTTGAGTTGTTGACTGAAGCCTGCAGAAACTATGTCGCTGTTGTGCTACCTACTACTCTACTCTACTCATGATGCACCTGAACCTGAATCTCGCTGAACCTGAACCAAAGTGCATTCATGAACCTGAACCTGAAGCTGAATGGTCTTGACAACCCCTAACTGAACCTCAACTATCGAGAAGTGGGGCTGCCTTACGTACACGAGGATGTTGAGGGGGAGGCCGGTGGTATATGTTTATGTGCACCTCTTTTTTTTTTTTTTTGCGTTGGTCATGAACTAGGTTTGTGATTTGCATTTAACTCGATACGAGGATTTGAAGTTGAATTTCATGTGTTGTTGATTTCTTTGTGTGGTGATCTTGCATAGTTGTGTTGCAAAAATTCATGTGTTAAATTTAGCCAAATTCATATGTAAATAAATTGTGGTGTGGCTGCCCTATTTTAGGGAAGTTGTTGGAGCAGTTGTGCCCTATCCGATGCCCTATTATAGGGCAGTCGTTGGAGACTCCACTTTGTCGTGCCAAAAAAAGAAAAACACTTTTTCGTGTCCTAAATTTTACTCCAACCATAATTTGGTGCCCTAAAATTGGGCACATACACACACGGTGTGATGAGCCCACCCGATTCTGAATCAGAGACCTTACTTTGCTATTCACAAGAGTCTGACGCCGCAACCGAAACCATAATGCTTCATTGTTTATCAATGTTTTATGCAGATGCCACAAAACATGATTCTATGAAGGCTTTCGGCCTCTTTTCCTTCCTTCTTGGCGCCTTTGCAGAGAAAGATGATGAAGCAAAACCCAGACAAGGAAGACTGTATCATGACACTGAAACAAAACCCTTCAGCGTTCTGTTCTTGAAGTTCTTTACTAACGGGCTGATCCTGTATCAGGAAATCATGACCCTCGGAGAATGATAATGCCTTTGATCAACCAACTAGTACATCCCATCAGGAAAAGAAAAGAAAAAAGAGTAGCGAATGATGTATATCTTGATTGGGATAAACTGAAAGAGTACCAACTTACCAACGTTTTCTTGTTGGTCAGAAGAGCATCTCTGTAGCCCCCAAAACCTAAACAGAAACACAAGGAAGAAATTCTACTGGCCAATCTTCTCATCACCTGATTACTTCCCCTCTTGGTTTATCATGCACGGTAACTCTGCCCACACAACACGTCAACTCTTCTGCTAGTTAACCATCAAGCAATATAGTACCCGAATTCAACTGCGCCATGCAAGCATTTTACTCATTTACCATCTAAAAACCAACCAACCAAGTCTAGTACCCAAAGTCTAGTACTCAAATGAACTGCCCCATGGAATGGATGCTTTGCAACTCCACAATACTTTGCTCCATGGGTCGGCTCGGCTCGGCCAATATAGTAGGCAGGTGCCTTCCTTGTATACATCAGATCAGTCCTCCGGTGGGTGCTGTGCAGCTCCTCAGGACCTCAGCACAGAACAAGCTTCACATGATCCCCAGCCACCGCTTCCTTCCATCCTGCGCGCCCAAATACAAGACAAGAGTCATCATAATATGCATACATACCAGGTTAACTCGACACTAGCACTACTCAAGAGTAAGTAGTGGTGTGTCACTCAGCATACATAAACACTCCAAGCAACTACTAGCTAGGTCAGGTTATTTTGGATCGGAGGGAGTACTAATTACTAAAAGGCAGTTGCGTGCACGGGCTTGCAAACGGAACAACCAATAAGATAATTGCTTACTTTGAGAAAGGAATGCCGCCGCTTCTTGACCGGAAGACATCATGGTGCCTCGTTGTAGGCCCACGCTTTCTGCCGACTCCACGTTGCCACAGACTGAGCCGCTCTCATCTGTCATGATACTGGAGGGAGAATGGTCCTCTGCTGCCGGTGTAATGGTACCACCATTAGCGTCTTCACATCCGTTCTCATCATGGCTGGTTGGCTGCATCACCTTGGCCACTGGATCGTTCAGAGTGTTCGAATCAGATTCAGGAGGAGCTGGGTGGTTATCCTTGGAGTCCTGCGAGCATCCACCACCGTCTTCGATCGCGACGCTTATGGATCCTATTAGCACTTGCGAGTTCTTGTCCGTGTTGAGAGGAGCCGTCTCTTGGTTAGCATCTACATCTGGCTCACCTTTTGGGCACCGTTCTTCAACACCAGTTCGCACCTTCCATGCCCAGGTCTTGCTTTTGTTTGTCGCTGCACCGACATTTGGCTCCCTGTGACGTGAGTGCCTTACTGAAGATGAAGATGGATGCTTCGACGCAGTCGCAGAAGAACCCGAGACAGAGCTATTTGGGGGAAGGTTTTCTGCCCTGTCGAGATTGCTTGTTGCCATGGCTTGTTCCCTGAAAACAGCAGCAGTATCGATTTCTTGTCCCGAACCACAATTGGCATCTTCTCCATTGCAACCATTGTCGTCTGAAGGCACTGGTGCTGACAATTGAAGATGCTGTGGGTCTTCTTGCTCGTGGAGGCCAGGGCCTGAAACAGCCTCGAGACTCTGAATCCCAGGAGAGCTCGTCGCACCATCGACCACTTCAGGTAACTGGACCATGGTGCCCTCGTCCTTGAGGTCTTTCAGTCTCTGTTCTTTCTGTCTCAGTTTCTTCATCCTTTTCCTTTCCATGATTTCAGCTTGCCTTCAAGTTATACAACAAGGATAGTTTAGATAAAGATCTCATCACAAAGTAGAATCAAATGACGCTGCATTTATTTATAGCAATAAGCAGATAAACAATATTGGCTTTGCAGCTTTGTGTACTAAACTAATTAAGTAATTATATAACACGCCAATGACATTAAACATTAACCTTTTCTGAGCAGCGTCCTCTTCCTCCACAAGCAACTTCTGGCATCTTAATGCTTCGGCGGCCTTATCAGCAGACCATGCTTCAACCTGTTGTTTTATTTACGGTCCTTCGTTAGAATCATAGAAACTTGTAGCTGGAGGTTAAATGCACTAACTCTGTTTTGCGTAATGGAAAGACATCGTACCAGCTTCTGTTCAAGGATGTAACTCGTGCACGCAACAACGTTTTTCAACTCTGTTGCGACCTTCTCAACCTCCCCATCAAACAAAAACTTCTGAACGAAAGCAGCGTCGGCTGCGTTGGTACAGAGAAATGTGTTCTCGCTTGCTTCGTCGAGCATGATAAACAGTTCATTTGATGAGATAGGTAGTCTTGAGGCTGCTGTCTGAATAAGGTCCTGCAGTTATGGGGAGAAAAGAAGCTTATTACATACTACACGACACCAAATGCATACAGTAATGCAGTTACAAGTTGGGTCAAAATCCTTACCAGGAGTTCATTGCCAGCTCTGGCATACGGCAGCGGCAACGAAGCGTACCCTGGCTTGCACATCCATGACGACAATGATGTCAAGATGAATAAAGCGCTGGTCTCCTGAAGATGTATTTCTTGTGTATAACATTAGATGTTCCGAAACACAAACCGATACACAAAGACAAAGCCGTATACTCTGAAGATGCCGATCTACGGTCATTACCTCTATAGCCACGCCCTCCAAGGACAGTATCGCTTGGGCCTGATCCACCGTGAGCTGAAGAGCAGGACAAGTTATTAATCACATGAACACACTACTAGCAAGGAGAGGGAAACAACATGTTGCTTCGTTTAAATAGGTTATATAAGGCCAGTAATCCACAATCTGTCAGCAAATCACTCTTTCTGCTAAATTATTTATATTACAGCAGAGAATAAAGAAGTGGCGGCAGAGCAGAGCATATCTTCTTACTTTGTCCCAGAATGCGGCAAGGTGGTCTCTGTTCTTGGGGAAATCCTGCAAAACCATCAGGAAACAAATATGTCATGCCAATGCAGGGCAGCAAGGGGGTGGGCACTGGGTATAAGAAAACCGAAGGCGTGGACGAATGGAGTTGCGTATCGCGCGTAACATTAGCTGAACACAGGTTAATGCAGACCATCCATTCGTTTAAGTAGGTTATAGGTCACTAATCCACAATCTGTGAGCAAATTACTCTTTGCTAAATTATATTACAACTATTATCGGACGCCCGTATTCGTCGAACCCCCATGTTGACGGGCGCTCGATTACGTACATACATCATAATGTATTGAACAGTCAGGTGAAAATGCAGGTACAAAGTGATTTTTGACACCCAACTGAACTGAACTGAACTGACAGAGGAGATGAAAAAAAATGAGGACAGAATGGGGGCAACCTTGTCGATCTTGAGGGCGCGGCGGTGGACGCGGGTGTGGCGGCGGAGGGCGACGGAGGAGCAGAACTCCCGGGGGCACTTGGCGCACTTGGTCAGCTGCATCTTGGGCGGCGAGAAGAGCGGCCACCCGGGGAGATCTGCGCCCAAACAAACAAACGAACAGACGAATCAGGATCCAAGAATGAGATCTCGCCGGCGGCGAAGGCCACTGACGTACACGACAGCCGGAACCGGTGCTGGCTGCTCCGTGAATGAGATACGTACATTTGTCGGTGGCGTCGGCGGCGGCGGCGCTGTTACTGCTGTTGTTGGCCTTGGCGGCGGCCTGCGCGAGCGCGACGACGGCGTCCGGGATCTTGAGCGGCTGGATCTGGCCGGACCCGGACCCGGACCCCGACGCGGCCATCTTCCCGGCGGGCCGGCGGCGAGGCGGACGCGCGTGAGAAATCGGGGAGGGGAAGACGGAGATCGACGGGACAGGGGAGAGCAAAAAGGAGGAGTCTTTTTTACTGGTCTCAAAACACAAAGGACAAAGGAGGAGTTTTTATTCTTTTTATTACTACTACTGCTGCTGCTGACTGATGAATGAATGTCTGGTTCATGTTACCATATCAAATACTCCATCTGTAAACAAATATAAGAGCATTTAGATCACTAAAGTAATGATCTAAACGCTCTTATATTAGTTTACGGAGGGAGTACAATGATATAATTACGAATGTATGCTTTAAATTCTTGCCGAAGCCGCAATCTAATTTTAATTACATATGCGAGTGAATTTGTTGGACCCATTACATATCGATTTAATAGAGGATGATACATAGTGCAAAGCATGGCACCAATTAAAAATGTGCTTCATCTGTTCCAGGTTAATTCTGTCCACGGATATACAAAGGTGAAGCATGTTTGGCGACGGTGAAAGTATGGAGCTACTCTCACTTGTCCAGGAGGAGAAATGTTGATGGTTCTTTGCTCTACGGCGAACAATAGACGACAAGTACCCGTTGGCCACCAAGTCGGGCTACTATCTTCTCCGGTAGTTCTTGATTGGGGTTGTGATGTGATCCGGGGTAGAGGGGGTCGACGATTCTTGATTGGGACGGCGATGTGGGGGCGGAGAAGGGAGAAGCTGCAATGCAGGGGAGTACGGGAGGGGTTGAGTGCGAGGTGAAGAGGTGGATATGTGGCGGCAGAGTAGTGTGTCCATCGGCGATGGTGGTGGGAGTGTGTTTGTTGCGCCGCGATGCCTCCTCTGTTCCTCTGTCGTCAAGAGAGAGAAAAGGGTTGGTTGGTTAAGTGGGTTCCTATAATGGGCTAATAGAGCTAGCCCATTTTAAAAAGTTATGTCCAATGGGAGCCCACGAAAGCAGTCTAAGTGAGATGGACTGGTTAGTCCCACTTAAATTCACTTGTACCTGCAGCGTGATAAACCGACGATCTTGCTCGTGGAGGCTCGAAATAAGGGGTTGTTGTAGAAAACGATATTGCTGCCAACAATGTATATAGAGCCATGCCGGCAGACAACACAAATAACCGCCCGTCATCCGTGGATAAAAACGGGGTGAAAACTCACATGCTCTTCAGCAATGTGGCGACAAGCGTCATCGAGGTGGGATTTTTTTCGAGAGTACGCCAATGGTGTATCATATTTTTATAGAAGGCAGAAGTTTTAATTATAAGAACTTGCGAGTGATGCGAACATCAACACAAGTGAACCAAGACACCTATACCAAAGCCTACTCTCTCACAAAACGGTCTAACACTCTTGCACCTAATCCGGCCTCCTTCTAGTCTTTGATCCCGTTCATGACGTGGTTGTGTAGCTCATCCACGGTTTTTTGTTGATTTATCCGATTGAAGACCTTCGCGTTTCTCTGCTTTCATAGTGACCAAGTCACTACGATTGCGAACGTGTCGAAACCTCTCCTGCCAGCACGTGTGAAGATTCATCTAGCTTGTAGCCGAAGATTTTTTTTATTTGAGATGACACCGTCGGAGGAGGAAGAAGCGTCATCGAGATGGTAATCACCTTCTATCCGCTTGCGCGTCGATGTGACAGTTGGAGATTGATCATGTTTGTTTTGTTTTTTGCATGGGGGCTAGGCAGAAACTCAGTTGATAGCAACATTGCATGGGTCAAGGAGGAGTGAGTAGTTACCAATAGGAACATATAAAACGAATGGAAGGATGTATGAGTTTGTTGGTCGACCGTTGGATTGAGTTTGGGTTGATCCAACGGCGGGAGCGCACGCGAGGCGGCGAATGGATCGGTGGCCACGGAGGGATTGGAAGAAGAAGAAGAAGAAGATAGGGAAGAGCGGAGCAGAGGAGAGGAGTCCCAGCGCGCGCGCAGCCATGGCCACCGCAACCTCCTTATCCCTCCACGGCCATGGCCTCGGCCTCCCTTCCCCGACCGCCAAGACGCCGGCGCGGAGGCTGCTCCCCGTCACCGTCAGGGCCATGGCGCCGGCCAGCCCCAGCAAAGGTCCGTCCGTGCTTCCTCCTGCTCGCCATTTACCTGTATTCGAGCCACCAGGCCGGGCGCCATGGTTTTGGCTTTGTGTGCGTGCTCTGGCAGCTGCCGCTTCTTTTCATATCCTCTCCGTGTCGTGTCGTGTCGTGCCAGGTGAAGCTGCTGCGGTGGAGTGCTCCCCTTCCCCGCGGCGGCAGGTGCTGGTGGCGGGGGCTGCCGTGGCCGCCGCGGCGCTCGTCTCCCGGCCCGCTCCGGCGGCATGTATGTTCTCCTTCCTTCTTCTCCCAATCCATCCATCCATCGCCCTAGGTAGTAGAATGATCAAAACTAATCCTGATTGATGTGGTATATCTAAATAATGGGATTGTAGTCGCGGCGGCGGACGGCAAGTTCATGCCGGTCATCGACCGGAAGGCCGGCTACTCCTTCGTCTACCCATTCGGATGGCAGGTACGTACTCCTCCATGAATCCTCTGCTCCATACGCATACTGCATACACTTGGTGATGCTGAATGAATAAATGAATGCAGGAGGTGTCTGTGCAAGGGCAGGACAAGGTGTACAAGGACGTGATCGAGCCGCTGGAGAGCGTCAGCATCAACATGATCCCCACCACCAAGGAAGACATCCGCGACCTCGGCCCGCCCGACCAGGTCCACCCCACTCCACTCGGTCATACGCCTTCTCATTAAAGAAAAGATAGATGGATAGATTGTTTATATCTCATCTCTTCTCTTGTATATCATGTGTGTGTTCTTCAGGTTGCCGAGGCCTTGGTGCGGAAAGTTCTATCACCACCCACGCAGAAAACCAAGTTGATCGAGGCCAAAGAGGTGTGGGTGTACCTTTTCTTTCTTTCTCTCACTTTAACCCGTTGATTCAATCCTCACAAAAGTGGCGCGCACCAGTTTTGATTAGATATTTCACCACTTTTTGTGTTTTGATTAAATTGGATAGATGTGCGTGCTTGTCTGATTATTCATTGATTGATCCAAAAATTAAAACTGTAACATATATATGCGTATGCCATAGGTCGCTTTAGAAATAAACATCCCACAAAATATATCCGTTTGCATTATAATGGAGATAATGAAGGTGCACAAACCCACATGACTACTTCCAGCCACAAACTACACATTATAATGGAGATAACAGTATCTGTAAAAAATGTGAGAGATGGAAGCGGAATTTTGCAGCCAGAGACAAATAAAATACTACTTCCAGCCACAAACTACACATGAATCTGCATGATGATTCTACTCTAAATGTCGCAAACTGTTGCCTAAAAATTAAAGTGTTTTCTTTTGTCTTGCGTGTATGTATGTATGTATGTATGTATGCATTATGCATCTTTTGTTCTTTGTTGTACTTCTTATTGTTTATGAAAAACCCTACATATCGTCCTGGCATATTTACCTAGCGAAGGATGATCATTGCCGTAACATCAAATTTATCAATCCTTGGTAGTACAAACTATCTAATGCTTCTCGGTTGGTTACCTTAGTAGAATCAAGCTGTTTTTTCGTTGTCAAATGCTCTTTTGTTGTCAACTTTATATGTTATTGTTTTGTGCAATTTTTAGGTATTCGCTTGTTGTTAAACTCACAAGATGCATTTCATTGTCCAGACCGATATCGATGGAAGAGCTTACTATACTTTCGAGTTCACAGCTCAGGCTCCAAATTTCACAAGACATGCACTTGGCACGATTACCATAGCGAATGGTATTAACTCCTATCTGGCATCATCGTTTTCTCTCTCAATAAGATGCCATGTTAGTTGTAAACTCCAATCAACTTCTCTTGCACGATTCCTGCTCTCTCACTTGTATTTGAAATGCTTGATTGATGATGTCATTGGTCGGTGGTCACTACTATATATCTACCATCTTCTCACTGTGTATGGGTTGTTGCAGGCAAGTTCTACACGTTGGCGACGGGCGCAAACGAGAGGAGATGGGACAAGATGAAGGATAGGCTACATACAATCGTCGACTCATTCAAAATCGAAACAAAAGTATGAGGGGTATTTGATGCATTCTGCTGATTTTCTATTTTTGGTTTGTTCGTTTTCGGAGCTACAGCTGGCGTGAGGTTCAATGGCAAATGTCGGGAATACAAATTCTACTGATCTTTTTTCTTTTCTTTTCTTTTCTTATGAAATATGTGATTTCAAATACTATTGTCTATATGTATATCATTTCACCCTCTATAATGCGATCCTTGGAGTACGGAGATCGAGCCTTGTGTAAATGTCTCAACATAAGCAATATTAAATAGAAGCATCATTTGCGTATTACTAATCAAATTCGGTGCCGAAATTTGCCACAGATAGAATGAAATTCGCAGGTACTGTGTAAGTCTATCTCCAACTAGGCAAATACAAAGAAGCTATAATTTCCTTTTCACAAATATAACATGCTTATGGCTCATGCCACCGAAATGTGGCTTCCACAATAGCTTAAATGTATCAATCTTCTTGCAAAAAATTCCACCAAGAAACATGAATCCAAACACCATGCCCCCTCCCTCGCCAAGGGGTGGCTCACCGCCGGCGCCCCCAGATCAGCCGGCTCAAGATCGGGTCAACTTCCTCCAGCCCCTCGTTGGTGGCCCCCTGCTGCCCCCTGCAGCTTCTGCGGTCGCATCGCTCGACCACTCCTGCCTCAGCGCAGGCTTGGAGGACGATGACCACGTCGCCCTATCACCAACGGTGGAGGTTTCCAACTCCTTCTCATCGTTGGCCATCAATGGCGGCGACCTCTCTCAGCTCTCTGGTAACTGCCCCTCTTCCCAGTCCATTACCCCTTATTGGTTGATTAATGATCTCACTGGTTGGTGGTCACTAGTAGAAAACAGGGCTTTGGTTCGGGCCTGGACAGCCCATTAGTCCTGGTTCAGCCATGAACCGGGACCCATGGGGGCATACGTCCCGGTTCGTGAGCCCAGGGGGCCGGCCGGGGCCTCGTGGGCATTGGTTCCGGTTCGTCTGGACCCATTTGTCCCGGTTACTGGCACGAACCGGGACCAATGGGCCTCGCTCCTGGCCCACATACATTGGTCCCGATTCGTGGCTCGAACCGGGACAAAAGAGGGAGCTTTATACCCAGTTCCAGCCACGAACCGGGACAAATGAGTTGCCTATATATACCCCATCGTCGCAACAGAGCACTCCACAGTGCTCTGTTTTTTCTGGTCGGCGAGGGGAGGTCATTTGGGTGCTCTAGCTCACCTCCTATGCACATGAGGTGTTCGATGAAATGCCCGAGCCACACTAGTTAAGCTTTCTCCTCTCGAAGCTCGACCTCCAAACTCCATTTTCCCCGAGATTTGCATAGGTTTAGCGGTCCGTCACGTCCCGTCCCCGTCTTCACCGCCGTCGATCGCCCACGCCGATCTCGTCGCCGGCACCACCGTGGTGAGCCTCTTGTTCTTATTTTCTTTCTGAAAGAAAAGAATTCTTACTTTAGATAGATACTCGTCTAATTTTCTTACTTTTACTATTGCTTGTTATTATATAGTGCGATGGTTTTGGTATCCGCCCCCGTCGGCCCTCGTCCTGTCTATGATTCGGATGCGGTATATATTATTTTTTTATAACTATTTGGTTCATTTATTGTTTATGACAATTATGCCGACCAATGTGACATAGATTTTATTTATGTAGGAGGTAGTTGACACTAGTGCAGAACCGGGCAATAGCACCGGTTCGTAAGGCCCTTTAGTGCCGGTTTTGTAACCGACGCTAAAGTGTAGGCACTAAAGGCCCCCCCTTTAGTACCGGTTCAGCACGAACCGGTGCTAAAGTGCAACCACGTGGCACGAGCCAGCTTCGAGGGGCAGGGAGCCCTTTAGTACCGGTTGGTGTCACCAACCGGTATTAAAAGGTTGGTGGGGGGGTTAGGGTTTATGATTTCTTTTTCATTTAATTTTGTGTTTTCCATTTAATTCTTTTTCATTTGCTGGTATTTTACGATACTACATATTGTACACGTTATGCATATATATAAATAGGATTTCTAGTAGAATCGATCATAATATATATATATATATATATATATATATATATATATATATATATATATATATATATATATATATATATACACACACAATTTCTCCTAATTGGTGCCTTCGGAGCTAGTGGCATTAGCCTAATTGGTGCCTTCGGAGCACGATAACAATTGGAAGTGGTTCATGGGGGCGGTAGCGAGTAATAGTATTCTTCTTTGGGATCTATGACCTGGTCGAGCAAAAATTCCGCTATTTCCTCTTGAATTGCTTGTATGCGCTCCTCTGTTAGGAGCTTCTCCCGCACCTCTTTAAACTATTAAGAAGGAGATCAATATGCATGTGTATTAGTTGTGTGACTAGATATCGATAATGGTGTAAAAATTGTGAATAATGTTCTGACAAACGTACTCACTCCTGTCTTTGAGATTTGCTCCTTTCGGACGCCATCATGCGAATGTTCTTGCAAACGTAGTATGCACACAGATTGTTCCCCGGCGCCTGCTTCAGGGCCTTTATGAGAATGGAATTTGATCAGATAATAATTAATCAAGCATGATAATTAAAGAGATGTCAGCTAGCTAGTACTACTTAATTACTTACCTGGGGTCGATACCATTTCAGATTTTGGTTTCATGGGCCTGGAGTGGCCCTGATGAACTTTGCCCAAGTCCTGCCAGCCGACAAAGAAAATAAATAAATGGGTTATTAGATAGTTGTTATCAGGAAATGACGAACTAATTAAATAGGCCGAGATATAGTTAATAATGATTGAAATTACTTGTTGACTATCCCCTTCACGATGGTGTAGTCACTTGCTTTCTTAAGTAGTGAGTCTAGTACTTCAACTGTTTCTTCATCAACTTTAATGATTAACAAGATCTAGTGAAATCTGCATGCACACACGTTTGCATGTCTTAATTAAGCGGGCATATGTAAGCAAAAACATGTAGCTAGCTAGTAGGCAAAAACAGAATTTGTAGTACAAGACAGTGTGACTCACTCGAAGTTGTCAGGAAGTAGTATATCTTCATTGTATTTGAGGCGCTTGAAGAACTCTAGCATCTTTCCTCTACACTTTTTTCGTGATATGGATCTAATTTCCATGTATAACGCCACCAAAGGAGATGAGGGTCGACGACGGGACCCGGGGCCGGGTTCCTCACCAAGCGTCGCACCCCTGAAGGTAGCACCTCCCAGTGCCAGCCCGGCGGAGCCCAGTCCCGGACATGGGTCCTCTGAAGCAGGACGTCGTCGCGAATGGGTCGACAGCGAGGATGCGGGCCGGGCATCGTCGACAACAAATACTATATGCCGCAAAAGTAAAGTAACATTTTTAAAATGATGGATTGTGATTTCATATATGCAAATTCTAAATTTTATAACTAAAACTAACATTTCTAATATTTCTATAACTAAAACTAACATTTCTAATATTTCTATAACTAAAAAATATTTCTATATAACTAACATTTCTAATATTTCTATAACTAAAACTAACATTTCTAATAATTCTATAACTAAAAAACAAAAAGATTGCTAACAATTCTATAAGAATGTGTGTGTTTGTGTGTGTGTGTGTGTGTGGTTGGCGGCCGGGGCAGGAGCTCACCGGCGAGGCGTGACGACGGTGGGCGGCGACGGGGACGGGGACGGGGACGGAGACGGAGACGGGGCGGCGACGACGGGGACGGGGACGGGCCGGGCGGGGACGACGTACGGGAGGACGGGCCGGGCGGGGACGACAGGAGGACGGGGCGGGGCGCGACGCGGCAACGGGGGCGGCGACGAGGGACGGCGGCGACGGGGCAGAGGAGAAAGAAGCAGGGAGAGATGAGAAACTGACAATTTTTTTGAAGTGTTTTCTTATATAGAATCCACCTTTAGTACCGGTTGGAGCCACCAACAAATACTAAAGGTCTGTTTTGGCCAGGCGAAGCGGCGGGAACCGCACCCCCTTTAGTACCGGGTCGTGGCACCAACTGGTACTAAAGGCCCCCCTTTAGTACCAGTTGGAGCCACGACCCGGTACTAAAGGGTGTGCGCTGCCAGGCGAGGGGCGCAAAAGTTTAGTCCCACCTCGCTAGCCGAGGGGCACTCACACCTACTTATAAGCCCCGCCGTCGCTGCTGTCTCGAGCTCCTCTCTTAAGCAGGCCTTCTGGGCCTACCTCTTCTGCGATGCCCTGTTGGGCCTACTGGGCTAGTGGGCCTACATCCTGGCCCAACTAGAATTTGGGTTTCTAGTCGTATGCAGGCCGCTGTGGCCTAGTAGGTGGGCTTTTTTTTTTGCTTTATTTATTTTTGTTTTATTTATTTTAGAGTTGTTTTTTTGCTGTATTTAGAGTTTGTTTGTGAATATTTTTGCTTTAGGTACAAAAAATTACAAACTTTCTGTTAGTACCGATAGTTTACAAATTTGAATAGTTTAAATTTTGAATTATTTGAAATTTGTGTGAATCACTAGTTTGTGAATAACTTAACTTTGAAAATAGATTTTTGATTCTTTTTTCTTATGTTTAATATTAGTGTGTTTTATCATTATATTCAATTTGGTAATGCTTAGGTTATTTAAAAAATGAAATGCCTTTGTAACGGATGAGTTTTCGTCCGAAACCCTGATACTTCGAAGAGATTGTCCATTTTGTACACGAAGTGCATTCAGTTTTTGCGGTAACCCTCTCTACTTTTTTGCACATGCTATGTGGGTGAAACTATGATACCATGCCAACTTTCAACCTTTTCTGAGTTTATTTGAAATGCTTTTCAATTTCAGGGTCATTTAGCTGAAAAAATCAGTAAATGTATGAAAGAATTTGCTTGCACATAAAATTTCTTCGCGTTTCAAATGCCGAAACACATAACTAGCTACCCTAACTATTACAGAGATTCCCTCCTGGGTGTGAAACACAGAAGAAAGTGATGATAGTGAAGCCGATCACATCCCAGATCTTTGGATGTGAAACTTTTTCTTCGCGTGTGTCCCTTTGCGCCGTAGCCATGGAAAGTCTTC